TCATACTACAGATCTGTACAAACTACTATGAATGCTTGTTTTGGCTAGAGAGCAAGTTAAAAATGCCTTAATAAAATACTAAGTAAATATAATTAAAAATAATCTATTTAATAATAAATACAATACTCAATAGTTTTTATTTTAATGTCTGTTTAATTTAACATTTTAAACTGCTTTTAGATTTTAGTATTGTTTTACTATTTTAAGCTGCCTTGGGTCCTCCTGAGGAGAAATATGGAGTATAATATTTTAAATAAATACTGCTGAGTTACTAACACAGCCTAATAATTGAACATATCTCAAGTTTCAAAACCCAGTCTTTAATCACTGACACCACTCCATGAATCTTAACTCTGAGCATCCCATATTTGTGGTAGAAAAAGAAGCTGCTCATCCTCTAAAACTGAGCTATCTGGACTAGAATCCACAAAATATATTTTTCTGCTCTGTGGGGTTTTTTTTAAAGCCACATCTTTATTTCATACAATTAGTATGAGTATTGCTATGGTCAGTCAGCCATGCAGGCATTACATTATAGTTACATAAGAGCATTCCTCTGCAACATCAGTTTAAAAAGTATTAACATTTTGGCAAACGTGTTTGAGCTGCATCACTGTGACACCTTGAAAACCTCAAGCTACTTCACCTCGAGGCCTCTCTGAATACTGATTACCAACCTGCACCACATGCCTTCTGAAAAAGGATGAAGCAAATCTATTTGCCATCTATATTCCAAGCATGACATGCTGTAGATTGATAACAAAATGTTTGACATAAATTCCACACAAAGTTGCCTTTACTCCAAAAGTAAAGTAATATGTAAAACACTTGTGGTATTGCAAAAAAGTAGCCCAAATTTGGGAGGTGTTTAATGAAGCAAACAAAATCACAAATCAGTTGATTACTAAATCCCCAGAATTAGCACTTCTTACCCTTTTTAAGGGGAGAATGAGTATTTTACATAAATCCTTAATAGGCCCCCTTCTAGTAAAAGCAAGACAAATTATAGCCAAAGGGTAGAAAAACATGCGGGGAGTATCAATCGCAGCATGGTTATCTAGAATAGCCATTCTCAACTTTTTTTGGCCACGGCCACAAACTCAATACGAAAGAAATATAAGATGAATTAGGATTGTATAAATCATATAGCGAACCTTATAAGGTGGTGTGAGAATAACTGTTTCCAGTATGTGCCCTCCCTTCAAATGTGCCAGGCCCCCCAGGAGATTATGATCCCCATTTTCCTTTTACAGTAAACAAACCCATGATAGACAGGGGCAAACATGCCATACTGCCAAATAAGGCAGACAGCCCAAACTTTAACAAGTGCTCAGTGACAAATGACTTCATGCCAACTCAGATGGTATACAAAATCTGGAATAAAGACAACCATTAATCTCAATTAAACACACAAGAATACCTTGTCGTATGTTTTGTGGAGGTGACAATTGAGTAGGTGTTACAACACAGAAAGGAATAGCAAAGGCGTGTTATGACACTAGTGACAAGTGATTTTGATATCCACATACATGAATATGATTTGCCAGTTACTGGGCTATTATGCTAACATGCCAATACAGACAAAAAATACTGGGGGTTTTTTTTGTATGATGTGTAGCTGATTTTACAGGATAGATCAAAACTGGTCCTTTAAAAAACGTAACTGTTAGGCAAGATTACCAAGAGTCATGCAGAATCTCAAGAACTAAAACTTAAATTTCATTCTTGCAGAATTGTACAAAAAAGTATCCAAACTTTCCAGTTCCAATCCTAGAGAATTTGTATCACATCAGCTTCTAGTGTAAGGAGGAAAATGCTAATCAAGACAAATAGCACTTTGTTGTCATGTAATGAAAACACTGTTTTTAACAGGTTTTTTTTGAGAAACTTCTAAATATCATAAGGAACCAACAGAAACCCAAAGCTAACAGCCCCCCGCTTTAAAGAGATTGAGCACATCCAAACAATAAAATCTGTTCTCAGTTATATCTTTAATAACAGATTGCTTACCCCAGTTGGTGTTTAAAATGGAAAAAACTCCAGAGGTAAAGTGCATATTGATAATACTATCTGAATTATTAATGGTCTTCCTGACTTAAACTCCACTTAGTGAGGTTAAAATGAAGAGCAATATGCTGCCAAATAAAAACGAGCAATTAAAATAAACCTTATAATTTCATAAAGGTATTTCCACGTGGGAGAAACTCTAAAATTATGCCAGCAGAGGCTTTAGATATCTTCAGACTTAGTGGTATTGATGGCATTGTAATGGCTTTGGCCCAGGTATGCATCCCAAATGGTTAGGCAGTAAGTATGTTCTGATGCAAGAAAGCAGAAAAAGACAGCTGAGTTTCACATTCTAAGTTGTTGTTTCTGTTTGAAGGTAGGCTTTAAAGGAACCACATTTTTTCTTCAAACAAAGACGCCTTCACAATTCTTGAATACAGTGGTGCCCCGTATAGGTTTTTTCTTCAAACAAAGACACCTTCACAATTCTTGAATATTAATGTTTTCAGTTTTCCCATATACTTTCAGATGCTGCGGCTCAGGCTAGCACAGTATATACACATGTATATATACTTTAAATTATGCAGTCAATATCCTTTCAGATTGTCAAATCATGCCCAACAGAGGCTAAAAATTGAACAAATTACCAATTAGGATTCCTTTAGAGTATAATGTAGAGCTGCATTTCCTGTTCTGGTCTATGTCTAAACAGATGACAAGAAACCAGTGGAACTCAAAAAGGAAAAGGCACCACGTAACTCCAAAATAAAACTTAATTTATGTTTTTACTGTAATTTTGAACTTACTTTGTATACAATCAAATACGGGAACAAAAGAACACAATTATATTGAGTTTGTAAATTGTTGCCCGAAGACACCTTCACAAAAGTCAAACCTTGTATCCAGCTTTATCCAAGTAAGTCAACGCATTTTTCTATCCATGATTGGGTTTCCAAAAGATGGGAGTCCACACAATTATACTAATGATAACCAGTTTTTAAGAATAGGAAGCTAGCATTCAAAAGTGACTTTGCCTATGATCACCTGTTTTGTGGACTATAAATGCTAGCAATTTATTACAGATGCAGTTCTATCAAAAAGGGGATGATAAAATGCCAAAGTGGGCACACAATCCTTACTTCACACATGCAGCTGCTGCAAGAAATCCCTTATTTCACACTTATGCAACAACATTTTGGATCTTGGATTCCATGTGCGCTTTATGTCAAACAGCAGCAACAATTTAAAAAAATACTGCTAAAAGCAGTTACGCCTGTTTGTGCCTTTAGAATACTAGACAGACAAAACCATGAATCAGTGCATTATGACAGATCCGACATGCCTAGTAGGAATTAGCTGCATACATGTGGCAAAGAATGAGACCAGTGATGCTGGGTAGTAGATAGGAAAATGCATAAAGACCTTCTATGACAGGATACAGTAAGAACAGGGTTAAAAAATGAGGTGTCTGAAGACAGAAACTAAGGGACGCAGATGACAAATAAGCATTATGAAGAGACTCTAAAGGCACATTTCAGATAGCACAATGATTCTTAAGAGTTTCTTTAAAAGGAACAAGTGCATTTTAGCAATGTTCTTTGAACACAACTAAATGCTTAGTCCAAATGTTTCATAGTACTCTTCTCAGTCAATATGGCTTCTCAGCACAACTCCCAGTTCAAGCAAAAACAAGAGGGAAGGATTGGATGGCTGGGTTAATAAAGGCTGACTGTACTGACAATATTTACTCATCAGATCCCACTGGTCTCTTCTGTGACCTTTTGCGGGGCAACCGCCTTGGCGATGCTTTATCTAAAGGGAGAAAAAGAAAAAGAGACGTTACCTAACACAATCACTTAACTGAAACTTTGGGTTTGGGAAAGAGAGAAAATTAATACTCTCATTTACCTACTCTAAGAACTATCATGCACCTAGCAGATCTGAAAGCACCTTATGAGCTTTATTGTGTAATCAACATGCAATGATAGTACAGTATATTTCCTATTTGCTCCTACCATGTTTCCCTGAAAATAAGAGCTAATCTGAAAATAAGCCCTAGTATGATTTTTCAGGAAGCTCATAATATAAGCCCTACCCCCATAATAAGCCCCAGTTAAGTGAAACCCCGCCCTCCACCATTGTGCAGCAACCAGAAAATGACATGACTGTAAAATAAAACATCCCCTGGAAATAAGCCCTAATGCGTTTTTTGGAGCAAAACTCTTATTTTCGGGAAAACACCGTAGAATAACAGGAGATCAAAGCATTTAATCTCTGCTCCATTGTAGTAAACTGGGTGGCCTTAAACAAGATGATTTTGTTAAGTTTTAAATTATAAATGTAGAAAAGAGGTAACAGTGCAATACTTTGCTGAGTAAAGAAAAGAGTGGATGAAATCCTACTATGTAGCACAGCAAGTCACAATTAAAACAGGCCTATTGAATCAGTGGAACATATGGAAAAGTAGACTCGCCAAATCTCACCAAATCTCCACTGATTCATTGAGTCTATTCTAGTTGACACTTACTATGCTAAGCAACAGGATTTCGGCAACAATGTCCCATCTTGCCTCTTGGGCTTAGGTTAGCTAGATCTAAAAATAATTTTCACTTCCACAAACTTGGGGTTTACCCCAAGTATTGAGTTTAATATGTTAGTAAATTCCAAAAAGACAGCCATGTTAGACTTACACACAGGCTGCTATGGCACAATGGTAAATGATATGCCACTGTTAAATTATGCTATATTCTTGAAAGAGTCAAGCAAATATGTTAATCTTCAATATAATATCTTGTTATTTTAGTTAGTATGAAAACTAAAGATCTGAATAACTGGCTGGATAGTTCAAGTCAGAATGCATAATTCAATCACCCACAATTATTTTCTTTCTTTCTTTTTTTGGTGGAAGTTGCCTCTGAAGACTGTCAGTTCTCAATGCAACATAGTATCAACAGAAGCTACCACTGGCACAGTCCCTCTGCACAGTCCCTCTTTCAACTCCTGGTCCACACTCCCACAATCTGCCTTGCCTCTTCTCTGTATTGCCGATCTGCACAGCGCTGTCCACATCTATGCCCTCTGTTTTGCTTGAGACATGTCAACAGCCTGTCTCCCTCAACCACCCAGCAATAGCCATTCCTGACCATAGGCATTCTTTAATTTTTTCATTGTTCCCCCCCCCCGACTAGTTTGTCAATCTGCTCCATCTTTTTCTTTAAGCCGTATTCTCCAGTAAATTTCTCCTTTTAATCCACTTGTTACTTTGCATCCTACTGTCAGTATCATTGCCTTCAAGCTCCTTGTCCCTTTGCCTCCCTACATCTTGGGACTTCTTCCCAGATCCTAACATGCAACTGCAGTTTTTTTTTTACAATTACCTTCTCTTCCCCTCATGGAAACTCATCTGCTAAATGCTCTATTCCTGGAGTAGCTCCACATCAGATGAGAGTCAAAGGGGTCACTGCAATTGCTATTTAGTACAAGTATATATAACCAATGACTGAAATCCTTAAAAACAAAACAAAAAAAGCTCAGTAGTGTTTTTCTAGTTAGCCACTGAATTGCTGTCTAAGTGAAAAGCCTTTGTTTTAATAGAGGACCAGTGGTTTAAAACAGTAATAATTAATATTTTATAACATTTATTTTCTTAAAAAGCCAGCAATTTGCCTCTTTCTCATCAGCCCAAAACAAATGGTCTAATATTTATTTTGGGCAGCTAGGTATGAAATTATATCAAGCCTGTAAGATGTTTTAAAAAGAAGCACAAAATGTCCTAAACTGTACTAATGTGAAGTCTTGATGCTCTTAAAGCGGTGTGAGGCAAATAACACCTGTAAGTGCAGATACCACGTAGCTAACGTTCCTTTGATTTTCAAGATATACAGACAGTTCATACTTTGCAAGTCAGCTCTCTGGTGAAAGGAACAGAGCACTCTGATTTGAAAGTTCTAGTTCGCAGAGCTCAAAAACACAAGAACAGATATTCAACTAAACAGAAATCTGAGGTTGTGAAATGAAATTAAGAACTATACTAACATGGAACGAAGGCATGCTTCAAAGCATAATGAGATATCAATAAATTTCATATATGGTAAAGCAGTTTGCCAAGCATTTTTATGTCTGGCCTACTTACTTCTTATTTATAGACCAGCTTTCTCCTGATACAAGTACTTCTTACCCATAATCTAGTCCATGTACAGTACTGATTTGTGTAAAAATCAGCAAACACTGCAGCTGTGTACAGCCTACTATGAAGGAAGTCCCTTGAACTCTGTGGTTGAAATTCTCTTTGTGCATCACATAAGGATGATGACATCACCAATCTTATGTGGCATAGCTGCACAAATAGGATTTGGGATGGTGTCATTTATGTTCACATAATTGTATATATTATTCCTACAGTTAGTCAATTTAAATTAAACTGACTTCACTGGGATTGATGAAGCCTATTTGTGCAGAGAACTTCAAAGAAGAACTTTTTAAAGGGAAATGTTTAACTGAACATTAACTCCTTTGAAACATTTAACAACTGATCTATTGAGCTGGATTTTAAAAGGTATTTTTTTTCCTTGGGTTGCAGGCACATTGGTAACATTCTCAATACCTTGATGTTATTTTACCACCACATGCAGTTATCAGAAGTGTACCGACCACCAAACAGAAAACGAGTGCAATGAGGAACCTATAAGTGCATATATTCTAGAAGCCTCATCTCAATAAAGTTTGTCTCACCTCTTCTACTTTGCACTGAAGCCACAGGAAAAATAAAATAGAAGAAATAGCAAAGATGTTAGAGAAGTCAATAAGCATTTTAGAGCTTTAGCATACATTATTATTTGGACTTATTTTTTTAATTATACAGAAGTAAGAAAAATTTAGAGTCCCAGAGCTCCCTCTATCCCAACCCAACACAAATCCAGAATAAAACATTACTGGTCACAGAATTACAATTTTGTCTTCAAAGAATAGTCACTGAACAAACTCAATGACAAAGAGTCCAACAAATCCTAAAAGTGAATTAGGAAATTTTCCATTACAACATTCTTTTTCCTAAAGACTACAAAGACCGTAAGAAACCAATTGGTGGACTACCAGGTTTGATACTTACTTATTTGATTAAGAGTTTCTTGAGGAATCCAACTCATGTCAACGTTATTCTGACTGGCTGTCCCCATCTCTACTTTCTGAGCTGGCCTTTTTCTCTGGATGCATTAAGATACATAGTTTAATAAAAAGAACAGAGTATGTTTTCTTCTCTGTACAGAGTATCATGATGAGAGACTATTAAACTACAATACAGTGGTGCCTCGCTTAACGAGCGCCTCGCTGAGCGATGAAATCGCTTAATGAGGGGCTCTGGAGCATTCGCTCAGCGATGGCCCCTATGGCGTTTTTTCCCTTAGCGGATATCGCATAACGAAGCGGGGGAGAACAGCTGATCGGCGGTACCAAAATGGCTGCCGGAAGGTCCGCGCCGCATTTTCGCGCCCTGCCCTCACTTACCGAGGGCACGAAAATGGTGGCGCTATGGAGGAACATCGCTTAACTGTGAGTTTTAAAGCCATAGGAACGCATTGAACAAAGTTCAATGTGTTTCTATGGCTTTTTAAATTCCGTTTAGCGATGTTTCGCTATAGCGAAGGTTAATCCGGAACGGATTAACCTCGCTATGCGAGGCACCACTGTACAATTCTCAGATACATAAAACTATGATTATGTCTGTTATAGTACTATGATACAGAAACATTATTCAACTAGGAACATAGGGCTGATTTAGATGCAGATTTGTAGCAGTTCCTTATCTTTTGTTGTCATCTGTACCCAAAATATTACAACAAAGCTTTCTTTTTTCTTTTTTTTTTACTTTTTCAGTTTTCTAGCAACAGAGAATATACCTCACAGCCACACAAAGAGGTACTTTGTTGCCTTGAAGGTACTAAATTCAGCTAAATACATTTGACTTATAGAATGTTTTTATAATCCTCACAGTACTTACCCGTATTTTTCGCTCCATAAGACGCACCTTTCCATAAGACACACCAATTTTTTAGGAGAAGAAAACAGGAAAATATAATCTGTTTTCTTCGCTCCATAAGACGCACAGACTTTCCACCCCCGTTTTGTGGGGGAAAAGTGTGTCTTATGGTGCGAAAAATACTGTAGTTTCCTCCTTAATGCTGCTAACATGCCTGAAATTTGTAACATTATCAATGCTGGTGGCATGGGCATCACTAGCTCTTCAATGTGTATCTCACAGGCAGGTAAAGATCAAACCTACCTAAAAATACATTTCTGCATGGGGCTGACTGGTATAATCTCTAAACAGTTTCTGACTCCATACACCTGTATTCTTTTATTAAAGATACAATTCTAGATTAGCATCCTTGTCACACTTAAGAGAATCAGACCAAGGGCTGACATGTCAATGTTCTGCACATACTACACTCGCATTTATTTTTCGTGGTGTAAAAAACCCCCAACATTTTAGTCTTTTCCAATGTCCATAATTGTAGTTACTATTTACTTAGGTCACTAGCAAGCAATCTTTTTTGTGTCGAAGGCTACATTCCCTCAGGATCAGCCTGCTGCAGGCCCAACAGCAATGGATGAGGATAGTAAGAACACATTAAATCATGCTCTTATCTCTCTGCTTACCATCCCTTTGACTCAATAAAGGAAACAATGGCTTTAGTTTGCAACACCCAAAGAGAGCTATTAATATTAGGACCTTTTGGAGGTAAGTAATTCACAAAGTAACCATAATTTGGAAGTCTCATGATGGAACACAAGAACACCATCCCTTTCTCTCTCCCAGCCATTCCTTCTCACATAGCGGGCTGCTGGAAAAGGGACAATTTGTTTTTGTTGAGGCTTGTAAAAACATATCGCCTGAGATTGTTCTCTCCTGGCTTAGGCTGTCACATCTGATAATCTGAAAATGTGTGTAGATATCTGTAAGTTATCTGCTAGCTGCAAAAAGACCAGTCATGTGGAGAAGATACTCACTGGCATTAGAAGACTTTGGTTTGCCAATACCAAAACAATTTTATACTTGTATTGCCTTGCTTCATTTTCTGAAAAACTAATTTTATATACACATGTGCAATCTGACCTTTCTATAAAAGAGGCTGGAGCAGTGCACATATGTTCCCTAGTCACATGTATCTATCCACAGAAAATAAAAGAGTCTTCAGAACATTCTTGGGTCCCCCCCCAAAAAAATGCTGGCAATAACCTACACTCAGGAATGCAGATGCTCAGATAGCATTACTTACCTTTCTTGATTCCAACAGCTGATGTAGACCAACAATGACAAGGAGTCCAAGTCCAGCAAGAAATACGTACATAAAGATCCTTATTTAAAAAGCAAGGATAATTTATAGTTAAGTTCTTACTTGTTTAATTAAGGAAAATCACAACAACAATTCCTAAATATTTTACTAGTTCAAGCAAGTCAACTAATGTCCTAACATAAACGTCCCCCCAATATGAAGCGAAATATAATTTGTAATGTATTGTTAAGAGTTGACATACACAAGGAAATAGACTACAGTATTCAGATTATTAAATGAAAATTGAATTAAAGGACCCCAGTTCTACCTAAAGAACCTGGATATAATAGCCAGATGCTCATTTAGATCACTGGCTCTAGAATATAAGACACATAAATGGAACACAACGATAGTGATACATAGCTTATTTACCACCCATTTGGATTACTGCAGTGTGCTCTATGAGCAGTTACCTCTGATGTCATTTTGGTAACTTCAAGTAGTGAAAACTGCTGCAGCCAGACTGTTGACTGGGGGTGGTTATTGGGATTAACTCCCATTACAACAGCTTCACTGGCTGCCAGTGCATTTCTGAGTCCTATTCATGACCTTTAAGGTCCTTTATATCTCAGATCCAGGCTATATGAAATACTGTATCTATTGGTTTGAGACCCCATAAGCATTAAGATCAGCAGAGGAATCTTTTCTCAGTCCCACCACTTTCACAAGCATGTGAAAGGACTTTTTTGGGGACGATTCAGGGTTCCTCATCCCTGTGGAATGAGGGTGGAGAGAGTAGAGAACCACAAAGTGATGACAGCATAGGAATTAGGACTGGTAGTGTGATGGGATGTGATAGTTGGTCCACTGGAATGAGAAGTTGTGGAAAAACAAACAAGCAGCCTTTTTTGGGGGATCATGTACACAGGTGCATTTGTGCAAATGCCCGTAGCATCCGAGCAAAGATGGGAGAGTTGGAACATTTGGTGGCTAGGTATAATATTGATGTAGTGGCCATAACAGAAACCTGATAGAATTTGGATACTGCAATCCCTGGCTATAAACTATAGCAGAGATAGGGAGGGGCGTGTTGGAGGTGAGGTCGCCATCTATGTCAAAGACGGGGTAGATTAAAGCAGAATAGAGATGGACAGCGGGTCGGACTCCATCATAGAATCACTGTGGGTTAAACTACCTGGTCCAAGGAGCGATGTGATAGTTGGGGGGGGTGCTATCATCCTCCAGATCAAAAACTTCAGGGGGACCTTGAAATGAGGAGACAAATCAGGGAGATGTCCAAGAGGAACAGGATTGTAATCATAGGGGACTTAAATTATCTTTACATCAACTGGGTCAATGCATGCTTGGGTCAAGAAAGAGAACGGGTTTCTTGACATGCTAAATGAATGTGCCTTGGAGCAACTTGTCATGGAGCCCACTAGAGGAGAGGTGATTCTGGATTTAATATTGGTTAGTCCTCAGGACCTGGTTAGGGACATGAATGTCACTGACCTGCTAGGAAATAGTGACCATGCTGTGACCTCTTTTGCCATGCATATTGGGGGGAGCTTTTGTGTCAAGTAAATCTGACACAAAAAAAACCTTGATTTCTGAAGGGCAGACTTCCCTCAGATGAGGAAACTAGTTAGAAAGAAGCTGAAAGGGAAGGTAAAAATCCAACCTCTCCAGAACACATGGAGCCTGTTTAAAACAATTGTAGTAGAGGCCCAGCAGAAGTGTATACTACAAAGAAAGAGGGGCCCAGCTACGTCCAAGAAGGTACCGGCATGGTTAACGAGTAGAGTTAGAGAAGCTTTAAAGGGCAGGAGGGGTCCTTCCATAAATGGAAATCCTTCCCAAACAAGGAATATAAAAAGGAACACAAGCTCTAGCAAAAGAAATGTAAGACGATGATACGGAAGGCAAAGAAAGACATTGCGGAATGTATGGACAACAATATAAAGGGGGGAAATAAAAGCTTCTTTAAATATGTTAGAAGCAGGAAACCTGTCAGAGAAGCGGCTGGCCCTCTGGATGGTGACGGAGGTAAAGGGAGGTAAAGGGAGGTAAAAGGGGACTGGAGACTGCAGAGAAATTAAATGAGTTCTTTGCATCTGTCTTTATGACAGAAGACTTTCTGTTGCTCCAACAGCCCCTCCTAATAAATGAATTAATTAGATACACCTTAAAAGAGAGAATGTTTTAGACCTAATCAATAAATTGAAGATCAATAAGTCACCAGCCCCAGATGGCATCCCCCCAAGGGTTAATAAGGAACTTAGGAATGAAGTTGCTGTTCTCATAACTAAAATATGCAACTTGTCCCTTAAAAATCACCAGCCCCAGATGGCATCCACCCAAGGGTTAATAAGGAACTGAGGAATGGAGTTGCTGTTCTCGTAACTAAAATATGCAACTTGTCCCTTAAAACAGCTACAGTGCCAGAGGACTGGAGGATTGCACATGTCACACCAATCTTTAAAAAGGGAAGGAGGGGGGAACTGGGAAAATACAGGCCAGTTAGCCTAATGTCCATTTCAGGAAAGATGCAGGAAAATCTCATCCAAAATAAAAATCTTAAAACACATAGAAGAACAAGCTTTGGTGAGGGAAAATCAGCATGGCTTCTGTAAGGGTATGTCTTGCCTCACAAAACTTTTAGAATTATTAGAAAAGGTCAACAGGCATGTGGATGTAGGCGAACCAGGGGATACTGTCTATCTGGATTTTCAGAAGGCATCTGATGCAGTTCTTCACCAAAAGTTGCTGAGAAAACTCCACAGTCAGGGGATAAGAGGGACTCCCCTTATGGAGTGAAAATTGGTTGAGAACCAGCAGAGAGTAGGTGTCAATGGGCAATTTTCACAATGTAGAGACATGAAAATCTGTCCTGGGACTGGTGCTTTTCAGCCTGTTCATAAATGACCTGGAGACAGGGATAAGCAATGAGGTGGCTAAGTTTGCAGATGACACAAAGGTTTTCCGGATGATGAAGACCAGAAGGGATTGTGAAGAGCTCTAGAAGGAGCTCTCCAAACTGGGACAATGGGCAGCAAAAAGGCAAATGTGTTTCAATATAAGAAAATGTAAAGTAATGCAAAGTGGGGGGGGGGGAATCAAAACTTTAGTTATCAGCTGATGGGTTCAGAGCTCTCCATGACAGTTCAGGAAAGAGATCTTGGTTTGCTGGTGGACAGTTCAATGAAAGTGTCAACCCAGTGTGCAGCAGCAGAGAAAGCCAATTCCATGCTAGGTCTCATTAAAAAGGGGAGTGAAAATAAAACAGCCAACATTATAATGCCACTGTACAAAATGCTGGTAAGGCCGCACCTGGAGTATTGCGTACAGTTCTGGTCGCCGGACCTCAAAAAAGACATTGTGGAATTGGAAAAGGTGCAGAAGAGAATAACTAAAATGATGACTGGTCTGGGGCACCTCCCTTATGAGGAAAGGCTTCAGCATTAAGGACTCTTTAGTCTAGAAAAAAGGTGCCAGGGGGACATGATTGAGATGTATACAATTATGCAGGGGATGGATAAAGTGGATAGAGGAAAGCTCTTTTCCCTCTCACACTGTACCAGAACCAGGGGGCATCCACTCAAATTGAGTGTTGGGAGAGTGAAAACAGACAAAAGATTTCTTTACCCAGTGTGCTATTAGTCTGTGGAACTCCTTGTCACAGGATGTGGTGATGATCTGGCCAGGATGCCTCCAAAAGGGAATGGACAGATTCCTGGAGGAAAAGTCCATTGCAGGTTACAAGCCATGATGGGGATGATTAATATCCAGGCTTAAAATGAAGGTACCTCAAAATGTCAGATGCAGGGGAGGGGGATCGGGAGACAGGTATCTAGTTGTCTCATGTGCTCCCAGAGGCATCTGGTGGGGCCACAGTGAGATACAGGAAGCTAGACTAGATGGGCCCTTGGCCTGATCCATCAGGGCTCTTTTTATAATCTTATGTTTAGTGAGGACTCAAAGAGCTTTTTCTGTGGCTGCTGTTCAATTATGGAACTTTCTTCCTCACTGAATAAGGCCCGCCCCTTTCCTCTTTTTATTTTGCCAGCAATTGAAAACTTATGTATTTAGAGAAGGTTTTGCAGAATCAGTGGGCAATTGAGATGAGAAGATATTTGAGAATTTATTTTATAGTTTTTACACAGCTTTCAGGGAATTAAAAAATATTTGTATGTTATAGTTTTAAATTTTAAGTAATTTTGTTTCTCTAGAGCTGGCCTAGAAAAGCAAAATGAAATGGAATGAAATATGTCTGTGTAAGTTCTCGGCTCTGTAATGGTTCTCCAGCGCTGAGAGCCATACACTTTTCTCCCTCTCCAAGTTCTGGGGAAAAATAAAACAAAGTACAGTCCACAATACTTCAAAACTCAAAGTTCACTTCATATAAAGGAATGGTCTGAGGAACTGCATATTAGAAACAGAAAACATCTCCTTGTTTGTAACAGTTAAGAAGGTAAAGATTCCCCTTGACAACTGTCCGGTCGTGTCCGACTCTAGGGGGCGGTGTTCATCCTGTTTCCAAGCCATAGAGCCAGTGTTTGTCTGTAGACATTTTCCGTGGTCACGTAGCCAGCATGACTAGACACGGAATGCCATTACCTTCCCACCGTAGTGGTACCTATTTATCTTTAACAGTTACTATAGAGCAATTCTGTTACCATTCTAAAATCTAATTTAATTTAATTAATGCAATGGTAATATTAGTGCAATATTTTATTATTCTTACGTTTCACCATCTAGTCCATCTTCTTTCTCGATAATTGTAACAGTCTGATTGAAAACAGCATCCTGGAAAAAGTTCCCCTAAAACAAAGCATAAACTAACATTATGGGCTGACAAAAGTATCTGCCTAGTGCCAGTATATAACATTGTTACTGTATACCACCAATTCTGAATTTAAAAAGAAACAAAGAATGTGGCAAAATACAAAACTACTGAAGTACAAATAATGTTATTGGGAGAGATGCTGGCAAAAATGAAATTTTTAAATGCACTGCTTTTTACTACCAATATGCATTCTGTCTTCAAAACTTAAACTCATCAAACCAGACTGAAACACAGTCTTGCGGCTTTAATGGCTCATTTCAAAAGCTTCTGTCAGAACCTTGGAACATCATGTAGGCAACAGTTACAGAGGAAGCCACAGGATAACTACTTAACCTTAGTGCTGGCCCCAACCCGCAGCAGAGCTAGCCAAAACAAAAACCTCCACTTACATTTTGATCTTTATAATTGAGATTGATAACTAGTCCAAAAGGACGTCCACCCATAGGCTCTGCAGGAATGAAGGAATATTCAAATGTGGCCTGTCTCTGTGGTGGAACAACTGTGTTCAAAGGAAGAGCTGTGAAATTTTGAATGAAGAACTGGTAATCTTGAGGGTACCGGAATGATGCATCTAGAGACTCTACAATGAAATCTTCTGAACCCTTGTTAGTAAAGCCTACCAAAAACTTTACAATGTTGTTTGCTGGAAAGTCTGGAGGAGAAAAATTATGGAAAAGGTTAAGAAGCAATTCTGCATTTTAAATCTGTGCAATTACAAAAGACTAGAATGACAAGACATGTTGGTCTGAAGAATGCAGTCATGCTTACCTTCTCCCTTCACAAACAAGATTGTTGTATCAGCATTAGGTGATGCTTTAGGTTCCCCAGATAAGTCTTCTTCTTCTTTCTCTTCTGTCTAATATAAGAGAATGTTTTTGAAAAGCCTATGACAAACAGTGAAGTAATGAATAGATGTACACTGCAAGGTTGCATTGCAATTTGACACACACACACATACATACATACATACAGACACACAGACAGACACACACAACAAAATTCACTGTCCAATAAGCATTCAGGAATTCTCAAGTTGAACAAATAGGTTTTCAAATATCATCTAGATTTGTCCAACTCTGGTACCATACAAAGATGCTGAAGGTGAGAATTTCACATCTTTGGAGCTAATTGGGGAAATACTCAAAGCCTGGAATTTGCCACCTGAGTTCCAAGGACCAACTGTTCTATGATGATGGGAAATATGAGAGTAACGTGGTAAATTTAAAACCATTCATGTTCACTCAGCCTTCCATTCGAGTTCAGTAAATTGAGTACCCAGATCATTGGGGAGGGAGTGTTCTTTGCATAATTATGTTGTAAACTGCCCACACAATGCTCTAGAACTATGGGACAATATACAAGTCAAAATAATAACAAATCAAAACACACAACTAGACATTGTCTAGGAACAATCAAATGTGCAAAAGGCAGGTAGGCTTAGCAAACATATACTGTAAATACAATTCAAAATCACAAACACAATAACAGAATTCATCCCTTAGCTAGTAGTACTGTACATTAATCACACCCAGCCTTCTGCTAGTATGACAATGAATAGAATTACTAGCAATCTGACCGGTGACAAACACCACATAGCAGTTTGTAGCAATGGGAGTTCCATAGTGGAGGAACCAAACTTGTGATGGTGCTCTCGGGTTTGGAACCTAATACCTAATTAAGATTAAGCATCAAAACAATGCCCTTTCAATGTGTGAGACTTCCTTCCACACCTGGCCCCACGAGGTCATTCCAGTACATGAACTGATTACTTCCCCCTAGCATTTTGTTTTTATTGAACAGAATTATTCGTCTATGTTCATTTTGGCTAGCAAAGGTCCGTCTTCACTGGTTTGAATCCTACTTATCCCTAACTTGCACAAGTTGGCTTGTGACCAAAATGTACTGTGTTCTATTTACATCCAGGATACCTAGAACACAGTGAATTTATACATTCACAGTAATAGGTAACTGCTGCAAACATGAAAACATGCAACATTAATTTGAGGAACTGAAGAGATCACTTCAGATATACCAATTCTGTGGGTTCATCTTCTTCAACTTCAGCTTCATCATCTTCATCTTCAACAACTGTATCCTCTATTGCTTCCTCATCTTCTGTGGCATCTTGAGCAGCCACCAGCAAGCCAGATCCTAGAAGCAAGTAAGGGAAATTTTCTTTTAAAAAGAGTTTTCCAAAATGATCATAGCAAAATCTCAATTAGAATCAGATAATAATTTTGGATGTACATGATTTTAGGCAAACCACATAACTGAGTAAAAAGTATTGAAGCATTAATTTAAAAGGCACCACTTACTTTACAAAGTGCTAGGTGCACAGCAATCCAGGGTTTACTCTGATGTTTATAACAGAGTTATATAGATTTTTTTAAATACAACATCTAGTGTGCTAGGCATAATACAAATAATTTGTAGGCCATCTTTGAGAGCAACCTTTTGAGTAGTTTCATAGACTAAAAAAACAAAGGTTATAAATCAGCAAATATGTAATTACAAAATACGAAAAGATACCAAACACAATGGCAAAAATAGTGTCGCACAAGAATCTCTGCTATTATGTTTCATTGAGTTGTATCTGACTTAAGGGAACCTTAATATGACTTTCAAGGCATGTGAGACAGTCAAGGAATGATTTTACCATTGCCACTGTGAGGGTGGATTTCATTAAAATCAAATTGACTTAAATAACGATTTAAAGATTAAATTGTCAGAAAAATCCATTTTTAAATTAAAAACAATTTTTAAAATTTAAATGGTGATTTCAATCAATTTGTTTTTTAAAAATCATTCATTTTTATCCAGCCTGGTCAGGATGGATAACCCAGCCTCCACCTTGGAAAGTTTCCTTAGCCAAGAGGGATCTGAACCCAGGTCTCCCGAGTTGTAGTCCACCACTCTATGGTTACATCACAATTGCAGCTCTCTCTCTCTCTCTCTGTATGCGTGCTGTAATTGGTACTCACTGAATGTGTATGTGGGTTTGCCTAACTGCCATTCCTGTTCTCCCAAGCCCTCTACAAACAGATTTACCAGCATGCTAATAAGATAGTGTAAAGATATTGTTTCAATCACAATATTTTGCTTTGCCCAGAAAGCAATTTTCCCCATCTCTCAATTAGGGGAAAGTTTTATAAAACATATTGCTTTAAAATCGATTTTTATCTGCTTTGATTTAAAGGCAATTAATAAAATGTCCCCTCTTTATTACTCTATTAACTATTTTCTATTTTCATATTAATTTTATGTTCCTGGGTGTCTTTGGGTACAAAAATTTATAACTTCTTTTTAATGCTGTGTAAACTTGCACATTTAATGAGGGTAAGACATTTAAATACAAAATCAGCAAATAGATAATTGAGTGTGGAGCACCTTTTCAGGACTTCAGCCAGACAGCTCTATTTACTTTCTAGAAATGTATTTTCTCCCCTCATAAATAATATGTTCTATAGTAACTAAGCATCTACCCCTATTAAGGTTGCTACATCCATATCTATATTTATCCATATTTGCAAACACTGAATCTCTCTCAAGTCTACTGATACTATTACGTTATCACTACATAAGGATCCACATGTGGAACATCTTGATAGTATGATCTATGTTTAAAATACTGTATGTTGGTCCCTCACCACCAAAAGAAGCTCCAGCCTCTTTCTACTGAACACAAACTCAGTAATGACACTCTTGACTGCAGAGGTTGCCTTGCCTTCCAGAAGCAATACTGGGCCACATTTACCTGGCTGTAAGCACCACCTACAGGTTGTTGTTAAATAAACTTATATTAGGAATTCAGTTACTCCTTTTGTTTGCAGAGTACAAGGCTGATATGTTAGCCCAGTCTCAGCAACTCCTATAAAGCACACAGATCAGCCCCTGCGTAGTAAACAGTGAACTGATAACTATTAGATGCATCTTATGAATTTAGAAGTTAGGTTTATCACAGTTATCAGCTGTGGTTAGAGTCAGAAATTTAAAAGACAAAAATGAGTTTCTCACATGGCGGAAACCCCCATGCTTGTTTCTCAAAAGGTGGCCAGGGGAGAAGAGACAAACAACACATAAACAGGAAAGAGTCTGCCCAACTGAACTCAGTCTGGTTTAGTGGATAAAGTAATGATATGATTCAGGAGACCAGGGTCTGAATCCCCATCTGGCCGTGGAACGTTGGGGAGGGGAATAGAACTAGTAAAACGACCCCTTACATTGAAAGCCCTATTAGGGTGGATATAAACACATAATACACACAAGTCCAATTGAACATAAACTTTTTTCCAAATACAATGCATGGGATTAACTTACGTTGTGAGCACTGTGAGAAATGCAGGATATTAAACAAAATACACTGACATGTTGACTTAGCTGCCAAGATCAATTACAGTTGTGCCCCTCATGACGACATCCCCCTGAAATTGCTGTTAAGCGAAATCGTCATCATGCGAAAAACAATTCCCCATTGGAATGGATTGAAACCTATTTAATGCGTCCCAATGTGGAAATTAACTCGTTGTCCAGCAAAGATCGCCCATAAGGGAATTTTCCGAGCGCCAACCAGCTGTTAAAATGGCTGCCCTGCGAAGCATGGGTCCAGAAAACACAGGGCAGGCATTTTAGGAAGCCGACGATCAGCTGGAAAAATCGTTGTCTTGCGAACAAATGGTTTGCGGAGCACGGACCTAATTGTCGTGAAGCGAAAATCCCCCACTGAAATGACTGTTTTGTGAATCACTATAATGATCACAAAAGCTATTGTCCTGTGGATTTGTCATTTAGCGGGGTCGTTGTCATGCGGGGCACCACTGTAAAAGTTGCAATTTCTCTATGATGTTTCATGTTCTTTAAGATACTGTGCCACAAAAATAATAATCATGTTCCATCAAGTTAATTCTGACTTATAACAAACTTTTTCAGGATTTTCCAGATACAGAATAGTTAGAAGTTGTTTACTGTTCTCTACTTCTGGACGCACCCTAGGATTGTGTAGCTTGCCCAAGGCCGCACAGACTAACTGTACTCATAGGAGGCACAGTGGGGAAATGAACTCCCAATTTCTGGGTCCACAGCTGATACCTAACTCACTGTTTTTTACAGGTAAAGTAGGAAACAAGTTCTCTGAGAGAACAGAGAAGACACCAACTTGGAAACCATGTGCTGCTCCCCGCCAACCCCAGAAAAAGGAAGTAGGCTTGAATCTAGTAGTGCACCACTAGAAGTTAAGTTTGGGGAAGTGTACGTAGACAATGACAGTAAAGCAGACAGTCTGAGAGTTGAAGAGGAAACCAGAAAGTGGAGCTTGGTGAGACAATTTGAAAAGGAGAGGGAAGAAAGGGGGAGTGTCTAAGGAAAAAGGACAGTATAAAAGGTGGAGAACAGAAGGAAAAGTAGAGAAAACTGCCTGATGGATGGGAGGGAATAATTATGCAGAACCTGTGAACAGAAGAATGGGAGAAACTAATGATGCCTCCTGAAGAAGCTAAGAGGTGTAAGAGGGATCAGTTACCAGCCAATGCCCCATTTTGGGAGGAAACAGTAGAGAGAGCTAAGAAAGCAATAAGGAGAGAAATGTGAGAGAAGGCTCCAAGAACAAGGGGAATGCCTGAGTTCTTCCAGGAGGTGGGTTGGGGGGGCGCAGGAGTGGTCTCATGGCAGGAAGGAATGAAGGCTGAACTGAAGACTATGTCCAGGTTGCCCATCCCAGAGTTTGGAGATCCAGCCTTTCCCACCTTTCCATCCCAGCTGGGGATATTCTGGCAACGGAATACTCTGCTGAATCCCAGCTGGAGGTTAAGTTCTGAAGATGTTTTGTTACCAAGTAACCCACAGTGATGTGGAACTTGGGCCATTTGAGGTTGTTGTAGACCTAATATTGAGTTAAATAAAAAGGTAAATGAAAAGTTCACAAAACTGGGGGCTGCCATAGGGGCTTATCTGGAACCCACTCACACTACCCCAAAGGCTTCTGGAAATTCTACATCTAAAGAGTTGAGTTTGGGCAGGGAACAGGAGTAGTATTGAACTGCTTTGACTATGAACATAGCTGAAAAGAAGGAGCAGCACATATGGTGGGGTATATTTGTTAGCAAAATCTAAGCTGAAGCTTCACTATAGCAAATAAAGTACATTCAGACTGCAGTGTTGATATTATTCTGTCAAATGTAGTCATGCCTGTTCATGTCAGCATATTCAAACCAACTCACATAACCAGAACACACAGTACTGCAGACAGGGTAACTTGCCAAAGTAGGACCTGGCAATGCATGAAAGAGCAATAAAGGATTTCACATCACTTCCTCCAAATAGAAGGCAAAACTAACCAGGGGCAGGGAGACACAAAAGCTGATCGAAGAACAGAAAGTCTTATAGCACGTCTAAATACTAACAAGTTTTATTTGGCATGAGCTTTCATGGATTGCAGCCTCACTTCTTCAAAAAGACCTGTAGAAGTGGTCTGCAGTCCATGAAAGATTATGCCAAATATATTTTGTCTTCTTAAAAAGGTATCATAGGGTTCCATTTCTTTTGCTGCAACAGACTAACATGATCATCTTCTTGAAAAACTCAGATCAATATTTTTATCTTACAGGAATAAGAATTTACTAGTTTACTAGGGAATTGTCTCAGTTCAAGAAGCACTGACAACTAAAATTTCACTTCCATTGATTTAAGAGCTGAAGCCCAACATATTGGTTTAATTTGTTTAGTAAGCAGATGCCAGCATAGACTTCTTTATGTCACAATAATCAAAGCATTCTGAAAATAAATGAAGGCTTGTAGTATAGTAAACTTAAGTATGAAAAATGTGCAAGAAGCTTGTAAAGCCTTTCCCTCATTTCCCAACTGTTAGGAAGAAGATTCCTTAATAAATTCCTTATAAAAACAAGCACATTTTTGTATTTAAAACAGCAGGCCACTCTTGACTTTTCTAAGGGAGAGCATGTGTTCCAGCATTCCTAAGCTCTCCTATATATTTCAGAATAAATGATGATGTGGCATTGCAGTTAGAGAAGATATTTGCTAAGGCAGCTAGTCATTTTGCGTGAGCATTACTGAAGAGTAGGCAACATGTTACACATAGGAACTAGATGAAATGCACTAGCACTAATTAATGAATCTAGGTAAAAAAAACTTTCTGCTGCAAAACAGACAATGAACACAGACACCACCACAAATTGCTTTTGCATCTATGTCACTGAAATGAAGTTCCATAAAATTTCTGCACAAAGCCTTCCTAATGAGGCAAGCAAGTGCTGTATTTCACAGTGCATTAGTTTGGTTGGGGGTCTGCCTTTGTTCTAAGACAAAATAATAACAAGATAAACAAGGCAGCGTGAAAATCACTTAAAAAACAAGCTTATGAAAGATCTAGACGGGCTACCTAATTATCTGCAATTCCAACAGGCAGATGATTTGCCACTGTGGGACACAAAATGCTGGATTAGACAGGAGGACTTTTGGATTGATCAGGGCTTATTCTTATAAGATGCAATATCAGAAAAAAGTAATAATACAGTACAAATACTGAAGAATAGTTTCTGGCATCCAACACAGTGTATTTTACAACTCGATCTTCTTAAAGATGTACTGGATGCAACCAAGGTGGATAAAAACTAATTAATTTTTTTTTAAATCAACTGATTTAAATCAAATCCACCCTGGAGTCATCCAACTCCCAATGACTTTGAAATGTACAGTATTTTCTCTGGCTGTTACAGTGTGGATTCATCATGATGTAACAAGGCATATAGTGCAATAGTTTTTAAGCTATTCCCACATACAACAACTACAGATATTATCAGTAACCAAAGGCTTTCACATGCACTTAAGACACAACATGTGCACCTGGAAAGCTTAAATCTGCGTTTGGAAAAATCAGCTACATCTTATATACTGATGGCAGGACACTAAAATTCGAATGACTTTAAACAATCATATCAGACAAGAAACATAACAAAACAACAAAGAAAAAGAATATTTTGGCACCTTGAAGACTAATTGGTATATTTTAATGTGAGCTTTCTTAGTTCACGTTAACTTTCCCAGATGTAAGAGTGAAACTTTAAGCATTCAAAAACCCTTGCAGATTGTTAACTACTTGAGAGGCTTTGCAATACATGTTTGCAGAAACAGGTCAACACCATTATTAAACAAAAGCTGATAAATGACTCATTGTTAAACAGAGAATGCAAAGTGATTCTTATGGAGAAATTGCCACTGATACACCAAAAGATAATCCATTTGCACTGCATCCATAGACCAAATTGACACTGTATATAGACACTGAAGCCAATTTTTGAGAAGTGTTTTCTCTCTTCTTTAGAGATCTTTTATTTTTGTTATTATAAAATCATTACACACAAGATTACTGTATCATTTTTGACAAATTGATTTCACTCAGTTACTAAGAATACACACAAAGTCAACGGTAACAATACAGGCCAGCACATATCACTCCTCCTCTTATCAAGATGACATAATGCACTCCATAAAGTTACATTTGCATCTGAAAACACTCCAACCAATTATATGACTTTATTATGATCATTTGAAACACTAACTTCCGTTACTTGCATTTGAAAAATACTTGCTCTGTATTTGAAGGGGGGAAAAGAGCTTTCTGGAAAGCTGCTCCCTTAGTCCATAACCTTTCAGATGACATCCAGAGAAAGAAACTGAGCTCTACGGGTAAGTTACCAGCACCTGGGCGTGATTCGGGAAAGGAAGTGAGAAGCAATCACAGCAACCCAGGCCTCTTGAGCAACAAAACACTTGAGACATAAACCGGAGCAAGGATTTGGGCGGTCTGCTGAAGGCTCTCTCAAAACGCCAGAGAAACCTGACCACCCTGCTTTCGCTTGTCAGGTTTTATATTTTGGAGTCTATTATATTTTAACTCCTTAAGAGAACGCCTACCTCCCCCCAAAATTAAAACAAAAAAAACAAAAAACAAAACAAAACCCACAGATGAATAAAAAAACTACAAGCCACCATGTGGGTTAAGTGGAGGGATCGACGAACCGAACTGACACGTCAGCCACGAGGGGAGGAGGGCGAGCGCGGGAGAGAAAGCACCGCAGCCCTTCCCGCTCCTCACCTCCCTGCCCCTCGGGCTCCCCTCACGACGCAGCCCGCGGAGAAGCACCGTTCACCTCAGGCGAAAAGGGAACCCTCCGCCCCGCAACCACCGCCTCGCAAAAGGCGCACGCGACAGCTAGAAAAGCGCCACACACGCGCGTCGCCACCCCCCTCGTCCCTTCTCTTCTCACCTGAGCTGCCTCGGGGGCCTCCGAGAAGCAAGGCGGCCGGGAAGGCCAGCAGCACGAGCAGCAGCAGTTGCGGGACAGACTTCCTCATGGTAGCGGGCCAACTCGGCGCCCTAGGCAGCAGTTACTACTTATCCTGGCCGCGGCGCAATGGCGAAAGACTCCCATCCGGCTGATGTCCCGCCTCTCTAACCCCACGACCCCTTTCGTCACCGTGAGACCGGCCTGACTCCGCCCCTTCCCCCTTTAATTGCATAAGGGGACGTGTCCTCGTTTGGAAGGCGGAAAGAGACCACGTGATGTAACCTTAACGCCTCCTACGTTCCTTCCCTGAATGCTGGCTTCGCCGCTGTAAGTGCGCACGCGCAGTGGCTCCTTCGTAACCCTAGAGCTCGTTATTTTGAGGCACGTTAAAACGCAGCGCAGTTCCTTCCCTTGGTAATCTTATGGCTGGATCGCATGCGGTAGCGCATGCGTCAAATCCCACAGCGGCGATTTTGCGTCGTTTCAGTCACAGTGTCGCGCTAGAACTTTACGTGTTAGCAGTGCCGTTTGTCTAGAAAACTACTGTAAATTGACCTTTCTTTCTTCACCAGATCTGCGGTCTCTTTCCTTTCGAGTCCGTTTTCCTGTAAGGACAACGGCAAGTACATCCGGTCTGCTTTTTGGAGTTCTTGTTCAGGGTGAACTATGATTTAATTTTTTAAAAAAAATCATTTTTTTGCTAATTTAAGTAAAAATTGATTTTTATTTATATCGTGATTCAAACCAATTTCATTTTAAAAAAATTTAAATAAAAATTATTTTTAATAAAAAAATTTATTAAAAATTATTTTTAAAAAATTTTTTTTTTTATAAAAAGAGCCTCTAATTGCTCAAAAACTCACCACAGGTGTGACATTTTAATGGTTTTCTTTCTGCTCATGAACTGTCTGGCTTTCTTTTTTAAAAAAAAAATTCTTCAGGGATTCTCTATAAGTAAGTGTTTCCTTTATATGTGTTGAGGGGGAGTGGAGAATAATCAGTTCACTTTCTGGAGACAGGCAAAGCAGTTCTCTATATTTTTTAACATTTATATTGCACTTTTTCTCCAGTGAATTCAAGGCATAGTAACTGGTTTTTCTTAAAATCACCCTGGGAAATGTTGGGTTGGGAACACAGGTGCATCATTAATTGCCCAGTGAATTTCATGGGTCACTGGGGACTTGAACTCGGCTGTCCTTGTCCAATACTGCACCACACATGCAAGGGAGAGGGACACTGATTGCTAGTCTTGGCTCTTCTTCATTCCCATTTGTTTGATGCAGATCAGAGAGCCACCTGATTAAGTAACTGTAGCCTTTATGCTATCTGGTATCATGTGTCCATGACCCCAAGAGCTAGCCTTTTGGAAAGTTAGGTTAAAGGTAAAGGTTGCCCTTGACATTTAGTCCAGTCGTGTCCGACTCTAGGACGCGGTGCTCATCCACGTTTCCAAGCCATAGAGCCAGCGTTTGTCCGAAGACAGTTTCCATGATCACGTGACCAGCACGATTAGACGCCGAGGTGGTACCTATTTATCTACTTGCATTTTTACATGCTTTCGAACTGCTAGTTGGCAGGAGCTGGGACAAGCAAAGGGAGCTCACTCAGTCGCGTGGATTCGATCTTAACGATGGCTGGTCTTCTGACCCTGCAGCACAGAGGCTTCTGCAGTTTAACCTGCAGCGCCACCACGTTCCAGCTAACTAACTTTGGAAAGTTAGTCAGTCTTGATTGTTCATTCCAGACTGTATTTGGCCAGAACACTGTTGGATTTTACAAGAGTAAGAGCAATTGCGTGAGTGATGTTCTCATTTTATTGGCGCTCCATAAGAATGATATACTAGTTGAAATCCTATTACTTAGCATAGCAAATTACATTAGAGTAAACACCAAACAACACATTTCACTGAGAAAAATACCATATTCTTTAAAACCATAATCTTACTGGGCAAAGGATAAATTGCTCATACTTCAGCAGTCCATGGACATTTATTTGAAAGGAATTTCAAGGAAAAATGTAAGAGAGGGGGATTTTTTTACAAATCCCAAAGTCTTGAAATGGGATAATGGCTTGTTAGTATTCTGTCAGCGGTCCCCAACCTTTTTGGGACCGCAGACTGTTTGGGGGTTGAAGGCTTCGTGCGCGGACCGATGGGGGGGGCGAGGGCACTCTTGTGCTTGCGGGTGGGCATGTCACACTCACAGAGGGGTGTGTCACGCTTGTGGGTGGGCATGTTGCCCATGTGGAGGGGTGTGTCATGCGTGCATGCGCACGAGCACAACATGCCCTATGCTTGTGGGTGGGCATGTTGCACATGTGGAGGGGTGTGTCATGTGTGCATGCGCACGAGCACAACATGCCCACCCCGCAAGCATGACATGCCTGGCTTCTAATTTCAACCCAGCTGGGAGCGGGAGCAGCAGCAGCGGCACTTACTTGGCAAGCACGGGGCTTCCTCATCAGGGGCTCACAGAAGCACCCTGCTTCAGAGTTATCTCCCTGGTCCTGGGAGGCACAGGAGCAACTCCGCCACCGACCCTCCCCGCCTCATAGGGGCTGGGTCCCGCCTGCCCCCCGGAAGTGCCCACGTGTCCAGAAGGGGAGTCCCCTCCCCGCCCGGCAGTCTTCTCCCTCCGAAGCAGCGGAGCTCGCGGGTCAGGAGTTTCACGCCACCAGGGCTTCTGGTTTTAGGTCTCTCTTATCTCTCTCCCCACCCCGCCCTGCTGCTTTTTGCAGGTCACCTGGTGACGCGCTCCAAAGCGCTCCGGCGATGTGCCAGGGAAGGAAGGGGTGATGCATAGCCCTTACCTTGAGCGCTTCGTCGGGCCACCTCTCCAGGCGCTGGTGCCGCTGCTGCTGCTGCTGCTGCTGTTGCCTCGTCCAGCCTTTGGCTGCTGCTGTTGCCTCGTTCTCTCTGCCTGCCCAGACGCGCCGTGGGAGGGGGTGATGCTGAGAGAACAGCCTTTGCACGCATGCTCCCCTCCCCCCAGTTTCTGTTCGCAGCCTGCCGCGGAGAGCTCACACCCGTCTATCCATCCGTCTTGACGGCCTGTTGCTCGTTCCCTCCCTCTATCTTCCTTTCCATTTCCTTTCCTGCTGCTGCTTGTTTACTGCCACCGCCAGGGCCGAAGAGCTGCAGCCAACAAGAGGGAATGAACGTTCCATCCGAGAGAACAAAGTGGCCAGTAGCAGGCACTGCCCACCAGCCAATGGGGAGCCGCGAAAGCGCGACATGCCCACCTGTGAGCGCAGCATGCCCACCTGTGAGCGTGACACGCCCCTCCGCAAGTGCGACATGTCCCCGTGCGTGCGGGGCGGGGGTGGAGATCTGTGTCTGCAGCCCAGTTGAACGAAGCCCATGGACTGGCTCCAGGCCGCGCATCGGGGGTTGGGGACCCTTGATCTAAACAAACCACACAGTGAGTGACCCCAGATTTCTTTACACCTAAATCTGTGGAGAAAGTTCTCCCCTTAATGGAGCTTCCTATGGGAAATAAATTAGTTTTGGCCCATACCCCATTCCCCACTGCTGATTTATTTAACTGGAAACAAGATCTTCCACCATATCGAGAGGCCCTTCAGAAGTATCTGGACTTGATCCAATGGATCATTACTACTCACCACTCTTCTGAGCAGGCTCCTAAGTGAAGATGAGAAATGCCAGGCTCTTGCTAAGACCTACGCCTGGTATACTACTCATAGGGTTCAACAAATAGCCGATGGCAGTGGAACAGTTGATTGGCCTGAATCAGCAGCCCTCCTAACCCGAGTTATTGATCCCAATCCTAATAAGCTTGCTGGAGCCCGCCTGCTGAAAGCAGCAAGAAATGCTGTGATTCATGGCCTCAAACTAAGGGTGCCAAAGGCTGTGAAACCTTCACAGAGTATATGAGATCATTTTAAAACCCACAGAATCCGCAAATGAATTCATGACGAGGCTCAAGGATGGTTTTCGCCGTATAATCACCTTGATCCGGATTTGGAATCAACAGCCAG